CTGCCTGGCATTGGGCCCCGCTCAGTAAATAGATATGTAAGTCATCAGGCCCCGCCTGGCATTAGGACTCGCCCGGTATACATATAAACATATAAATATATAATCATGCAACACATGCAATGATCACAAAGATAATAGCATACAGGATAGTCATCGGGCCCTGCCTAGCATCGGGCCTTGCCCGATAAACACATACACATATAACACATGCAATGATCTCAAAGATAGATAACATACAAGATGGTAATCGGGCCCCCGCCCGACATCAGGCCTCGTCCAGCATCGGGCTCGCCCGGTGAACATGCAAACACATAACTTATGCAAGAGTCGCATACATATCTAGCATCCTAAGCATAACAACCATGGGCCGACATTGGTGCCTTCGACCCGCTAAACACAATGAGGAAACTCACCTCAACCTGCTGAATCACTCGAATGAATCTCTAACTATTGGCCTGGAAAATCCCTGCGCTAATTATTAATTGGATTCCAACCCATACCAAAAGTCTAAGCTAATTGGCCTATAACCAGACCCATCACAACCATTCAAAGGCCCAAATACTAAAGCCCAATATATGGCCCAATCTTCCAAATTGAGCCCAAAACCCATCATGGGCCTAAAATCCAAGGAAGCCCAACATGTTAGCCCAAATCCCAAAACAGAGGTCTAATGGCCCAACCAGGCCCAAACTTCCAAATCCAAACTATGGCCCAATACCGAGGGCGTTAAGCTAACAAGCCCATCTGCTGAGTACGTGGGGCGTACTCAGCTTGTACGCTTAGCGTAATCCAACTGGGGCTAACACGCGCAACGTACCAGCTGGGTACGTCTAGCGTACTCCCCAGCTTAAACCGCTAAGTCCTTTATCCAAACTCTCAAATTTGGTCCCTAAAGGTGACTTATCACGTAAAGTAGGCAACTTTATGTGCATTCATGGATTAATGGGGCTTAAGAGCTCAAAAAGAGATTAACAAAGGTCTTAATACATGCATGGGTCACAATACTCCATAAAGTTTGCATTTTTGTGCATAAGGGACCCCTAAAATGTCCATCTATAAGGGCTAAGCTTCTGAAACAACCTTTACTCACAAGGACCAACCAAAAAGGGACCAAAATAAGCCATAAACAAACCCAAATTAGATATACACTATGAGTTGACAAGCTAATAACTTTATACCTCAAATGGTTCGAAATGATGACGCTAACTCCGAATCTCTAAGCTTTACTCCAAGGAATGAGTCTTCAATCTCCTTCTACCACTTCAAAATGCACAAGAACACACCAAAATTCTTCACAAGAGCTCAAAAGCACCAAAATAATGTCTAGGGGCGAAATTAGGGTTTAGAAGTTATGGAGGCTTGTCTAAAATATCCAGGAGGTGAGTTTAAGATGTTTAAATAGGGCACAAACCCTAAAAACTAGGGTTTGTCCCAGGCCTTGATACGCCATGCATACTCTACGTACGTCCATCGTACATAGGTGGAATTTGTGACCATCAGGAGGCTAGTACACTAAGCGTACTCATAGAGTACGCCCGACGTACTATCAAAGGACCATATTGAAAACAATTTAACATTAGGGACTAAAAGAGGAACTTACCCAAACTTGAATGTTACATTCTCATTCTTCAACACCAAAAAGGCACACAAATGAGCTGAAAACACTCTTCTCACTTAGGGTTTGCTAGAGGGTCGAAATCTCAGATGGGGGCTGATGAGAGAATGATAAATGATGCTATAATGGTGTTTATATATGGACCAAACCCTAAAAATATAATGGTGTTTATATATGGACCAAATCCTAAAAATTAGGGTTTGAACTTCCTCCACATACGCCCTGCGTACGAGGTGTGCGCCCAACGTACTAGGGTCCGCCCTAGTACGCTCAGCGTACACAACATACGCCCAACGTACTACCCCAATGCACAAAATTACCAAAATGCCACTATAGGCCATTTTACACTCTTTCTTATACTCAAGGACTAAAACAAAATATTTATTCATACATAGGGTTAAAATTTAAAATACCTCAACATCGGGATGTTACAATTCTCCCCCACTTGAACTAGACTTCGTCCTCGAAGTCGACCGTCACAAACAACTAAGGATAATGCTTCCGCATCTCCACCTTCGGCTCACAGGTCCACTCGGAGCCCTTCCAATGTTGCAACTGAACCTTTACCAAAGGTATCTCTTTGTTGCACAAAATCTTCATCTTTCTTTCCACTATCGCTACCGCCCTCTCAATATAATTTAGGCATTCATCGACCTGAATATCATCCAAGGGGACCACTGCCTCATTGTCCAACACGACCTTCTGCAACTGCAAATACATGGAAAGTGTTGTGGATATGGCTAAGCTCACTCGACAAATCCAACTGGCAGGCCACCCTGTCTACCCTAGCGATCACACTAAACAATCCAATATACTAGGGCCCTAATTTTCCCTTCTTCCTAAAGCGTATCAGACCATTCTAGGGTGAGACCTTCGGTAGTACCATATCACCGACCTGAAATTCCAGCTCCGATCGGTGCCGCTCGACATAACTCTTCTGCCGACTCTGAGTTGTCTGTAGTCTCTGCCTGATCCGCTAAATAAGATCCATGGTCTGAAGGACTACTTCAGTCTTTCCCATGACTTTATGACCAATCTCCCCCCAACAAACTAGGGTATGACATCTCCAACCATACAGGATATCAAAAGGCGGGGCACCAATGCTGGAGTGATAACTGTTGTTGTAGTAGAACTCCGCAAGAGGTAGGTATGAATCCCAAATCCCACCAAAATCTATAACACAAGCCCACAACATATCCTCAAGTGTCTGGATAGTCCTCTTACTCTGGTCGTCGGTCTGCGGATGATAAGTAATGCTGAAATGTAGCCTCATGCCCAGTTCCTCGTGGAACTTCTACCATAATCGGGAAGTGAACCGAACATCCTGGTCTAATACAGTGGAGACCGTAACCCCATGATGAGCAAAAATCTCTGGAACATACATATCGGCTAACTTTTCGGTCGAAGAGCTCTCCCAGATGGCCAAAAAGTGGGAACTCTTGGTCAATTGATCCACAATAACCCATATAGCATCAAAACCCTTGGCAGACTTCGACAACTTGGTGATAAAATCCATGGTGATCTGTTCCCACTCCCACACGGGAAGCTCCAGAGGTTGCAACTTGTCATGTGGCCTCTGATGCTCGACCTTGACAATCCTACAGGTCAAGCACCTCCCAACGTATCATGCTATCTCCCTCTTCATACACAGCCACCAGTAACTCGGTCTCAAATCCTGATACATCTTGGTGGCTCCCGGGTGTATCGAAAAGCGAGAATTATGAGCCTCCTCCAAAACCATCTATCTGATCCCACCATAAATTGGAACCCAAACCCGACCACACAGGGTTAACAATCCCCGACTATCGGTGACAAACCTGTCGATCTCACCCCTGAGCCTCTCCTGCTTCCAGTTCTACTTCCTGACTCCCTTTGCCTATGTCCCTCTGATCATATCCAAAAGTGGAGAATCAATGGATATCCTCATACACATATCCCCAGCTGAAGATCCAACCAAATTGCGGCTTAAGGCATCCGCTACCACATTCGCTTTACTCGGATGGTAAAGGATATTGCAGTCATAATCCTTGACCATGTCCAGCCACCTGCATTGCCTCATGTTCAGGTTCAGCTGGTCCATAAGATATCGCAAACTCTTGTGATCCATGTAAACGGTACAACAGACCCCATATAGATAATGTCTCAAAATCTTGAGGGAAAACACCACTGCCCCCAACTCCACGTCATGAGTAGGATAACGTGCCTCATGCGACTTCAGCTGCCGAGAAGCATATGCAATCACTCGCCCTCTCCACATAAGAACCGCCCCAAACCAGGATGGATGCATCACAAAATACAACGAAATCCTCGACACCCTCCGGAAGGGTCAACACCGGGGCCTCATATAACCTCTGTCGCAGTGTCTCAAATGTCATCTGCTGCTCAGGGCCCCATCGGAAATCCACTCCCTTCCTTGTCAGACGAGTGAGAGATATTGCAATCTTGGAGAAGTCCTAGATAAATCTCCGATAATATCCCACAAAACCCAAGAAACTCCTGATCTCTGAGGGAGATTTTGGAACCTCCCACCGAGTACCGTCCCATATATTTAAATTTGGTATCGGTTCCGGTACGGTGGTACGGGATCGAGATTTGGTACAAACGTGTCACCCCTAGCTGGTGTTTACTCGTAGACATCTATGCAACGTTGGACCTCACATGTAAAAACTTGTCCATACCGAAAGACTTAAGGTGATGTTTGGTTCGTAGAATGTTTATGAAGGAATTAGAATTGAAATTGGAAAATGAATATGTCAGGAATTTGAATCCAATTCCATATTCTGATTGGTTGACATGAAATGAAATTAGAATTGATTTCAGATTCTATTTGGTTCGCAGGAAATTTAATTGGAATCGATGTAAATTGACATAATTACCCTTTTAGTCTGTTTTGTTTAATTTTACTTTATTTTCAAACTTATATGTAAAGATACATTATATAAATTATAAAATAGTAAATGTCGGCAGTGGCAGCGGTAGCGGTGGTAGTGGAGGTGGTGGCAGTGGTGATGGCGGCGACAATGACGATGGTGGTGGGTGATGGTAATAGTGGTGGCAGCAACGGTGGTGTTGGTGGCGGCGACAATGGTAGTGGTGGGTGATGGTAGTGGTGGTGACAGTGGCAGTGAATGTGGTGGTGGTGGTAGCGATGATGGTAGTGGCGTCGACGATGGTGGTGGTGGTGACGGTGATGTTAACAGTGATAGTTGGTGGCGGGTGATGGTGGTGGTGACAGTGGTGGCGGTAGTGGTGGTGGTAGGTGGCGATGACAGTGACAGTTCGTGGTCGGTAGCATTAGTGTAGTGATGTGCCCAAATACTAACCTAAACAAAACATGTAAACCTAAAATGGAAAATTCAGGCTGCACCGCAATCAAAATTTAAACGCTGGAAAGTCAACGTAAAAACAAAACCCTCGTTGCGAAGCACATACACGGTTTCCGACTCCGCTGAAGTGCTATTTTCCGGTGGAACTGCGGCAACGACTGATCCAGAACAGCTTACTTTCCTGCCTCCAACAATTTTCCGATGGATGACTGGAATCCGGAACAGCTATCCTCCTCCGCCGAGGCCGCCGCCAAAGCACCAGAACCGTCGTCCATTTTCGCATCTTCTTATCAATACTGTTCGAGAATTTTACGCCAACGTTTCATCGGCTGCATCCCTTCTCTATCCAATTTAAATCTCCCCCAAAAGATCACTTTTCTCGAAAAGATTTCTACTCTCTACAAGAGGAGAATCATCCCGTCCACATCACGAAGAAAGCGCGGGACGTGTCTACCTCTTCCACTGCCTTCAGTATCTCTCGAACCTTTCAAGTATGAATGTACATTCTAAATAGGGGTGTGTTTGTAGCTGCTTATGTAAATTGTCTTTAGATTCTGATCAAATTTTACTTCCTCCCCTACAAACTTACACTTTACCTTGTCTCCGTTTCTATTATTATGTTGGGTTTATGAGAATTTCAAGTTCAACTATACAGGCAGACGTCTGAGACATCTAGAGTATATGAGGTTCTAGGGGACATAGTGGAGCATACTTTCTTCAATTTGCATAGTGTCCAGAAGAATTTACACTTTTGGGAAGCTAGAGCAGAGGTATATAAACGATTCTCCCCTTGACAACCACGAGTTAGCTACAATCTATGCTCATAATAGCACCTGCATAGTGAATTCTTACTGTGTTGTTGTATCAGGGATCAACTTCTAATAAAGTATACTTCATGGTTTTTGAGAGAGGGCCTCTAGCATTTCTTGATGGTTCAGCCCAGTTGTTACATGACTATGTTTTCCATGGCACTGGCATGCAACAAGTTTCATCCTCAGCATCTGTACACATCTCAGAGAGGATAAGTGTCTTAACCAGCTTAAGATACTCACTGGCTACATTTTTAGCACAGGTCTCTTCGAGTTGAAACTTTTCTTTTGATATTTCAATGTTGAATCATGTTTTTATCTTCACTCCTCAGGTCTATGTGGAGGTTGAAAAATCAGGGGAACAGATACTTAAGGAGCCTGGGAAGTCATTGGCTGCATTACTAGGCACTATAAATGGCTTATTTTTAAGTTTGGAAGCATCAATTGGCCATTTCAGTGCAGTACGCCAGGTAAGTACCCTCCATTTCATACCCAACATATGCTACTTAAAAAAGTAGACAATGGAGAACTTAGGTTGTGTTTGGCGCACTTATTTTTTGAGCTAATTGCAATGTAGTGTTTGTTGAGACCACTAAAGTAGCTTATAAGCTAGCTAAGATAGTTTGTTGATAAGCTCATGGGCCTTTTTCCATCTAGCTTATCAGCTAGTTTTTACGAACACTATTACTTTATCAGCTAGCTTATCAGACAAAAGCTAGCTTTTTCAGCTAGGCTACCTTAATATTAACAAGTTGATTGTATGTTTAGGTTATGTTTGTTCTACCTTTTTGAATTGACAAAAAGTTGCTATGAATTAAACTTTCAATTAAATTTGCAGATTGGATCTTCTGTTGATGGGAGTTACTCGTCTCCTTTGATGTTTGAGACACTGCCAGATGTAAACCAAGAAAGTTCTCAGTGGACTGATTGTGAGATCAGAGATGTCATCAACTTGATTTATTTGAATCTAAACAAGCTGGATGTCTACTTATCACTCTTGGTAACATCTTTCCCTATTCCCCACTTATAAATACAATCCTTTCTAATTTTAAAACCCTTTGTGGACATAGTTTATTCTTTAGAACAAACCAAACATAAACTGTGTTATTCTGTGTTTTGTCTTATGTATGTGATGCCATATTCCTATGTGTTTCACAAATTCCTAAAAGGGTTTCTACCTTTTGGCCATGTTCTTCAACGGGAAAAAGATTGAAACCCATGACATTTTCCATTTACAGTTTTGCTTTAGAAAACATTCTGCTCATTTGGAGGTTGGATGATTAACGTTTACAAACACTTGACCCTATACAGTTAGTTTTTAATAATTGATGATAATAATCAATCATTTAAGGCAGCATTTGAAATTGTCACCTTTTGGCTTTTGGTGTCATGGCCAATGGCTTCAGGGTTTAATAAACTGATACCAATACTACTACATTGAAAAGAGTTTTGTGCTTCATATAATTATATTGTATCTAATGATTAGGCTTGTAAGGTATTTTTGATATGGTATATGATATTGGTTTGTCCTAGGTTGCCAAACATCAAAAGCCAAGGACAATGACACGTCATTGGATGCGCTACACTATTGGAGCTGTAGGAATTTCAGTATTTTCAGTATGGCTTCTAGGGCATAGCAGATTGGCAGGAAGTCCTGACATTGACAACTGGATTCATGATGCAAAAACTTCTGTCACTGACTTTTTGAATCACCATGTAGAGCAACCGGTAATTTCTTCTACAATCTTGCTTTGGTTTCATATATACACATGATACATCTTATCAAATCCCATCTTATTTTGATTCCTTTTTATACACTAAATAATGTCAGCTTATTGCTATAAGAGATGAGCTTTTTGAGACATTCAGGAAGAGGCACAAGGGAGTAATGGAACTTGAAGAAGTGCAATTAACTTCTAATTCACTACACAGGTAAGTCCCAGACTTCAAATTTTCGCATATAATGTTTTACTAGTATTTTCCAAATCTATCAAAGAAGTTGTACATGTTTACAAAAGCTTTTGAAACTTAATATATATACATTTTTTTTTTTTTTTTTTTTTGCAGAATGTTGTTGGCATTCAGTGAGCAGACTAAAGGCCAAAAGTTTCCAGAAAATGCATCGGACCAGGAGATGCTTGAAATAGTTATGGGCAGGTATTAGTAGCTATTACAAAATTGCTCTATTATTTACACGATACCCCTATTTTGTCATGCTTGAGGAGTATGTTATAGGGTTCAATGCAAGAAAGCAATGCACTTCCATTTATTTGTTTATTATAGCATCTTAATTTTGTTTTTCTCTCATTAGAGCATTGTAGTTTGGAAAATCTACATATATATATATATATATATATATAATATAGCATTGTTGTCCAAATACAATGTAACTTAACTTGTAATATAATAAAAAACTGAAAGTGCAATGTTATAATTGGGTAGATTTTTAATAGTACAATGTTTTAATAAGGAAAAAATTGGAACTATAAAGATGTAATACAAAGTGATAAAAGTAAGATGCTATTATAAACAAATAAATGGAAGTACGTTGCTATTTGTTGGTATACATTGATTGACTAATAGGCATACACCTCCATTTAATTAGTTGAGTTTAAGTCATAGAACTTTTTAACCCTCCATCTATCTATACAATGATGCAAAAAATAAAAACGTACTTCGATTGATCTGTTTCTTATAGCACCTTACAGTAATTTCATTTATTCCTATTACAACATTGTATTTTGAGAATTTTACCCAATTATAAATAGCAATATCATCCAAATACAAAGCAATTTCAATGCTACAATTGGTAGATTTTTGATGGAATTTTTTTTTGCAAGTACAATGTTATAATGAAAGTAGAATGTTGTAATAGAAAGAAAGAAAGAAATGAAAGCAGGATGACTTTTTATCAATTGATTCTTGTCTAATTTTGAATGACTTTATCAATTGATGCAGATATGAGAAGGAGCTTATGCATCCGATCCAAAATCTTGTTGGTGGAGAGCTTGCTCGTGCAATGCTTATCCAAGTAACTAACTAACTAACTAACTAACACTTTAATTTTCGGTAGTTGTTAATCTAAAATTCAGTTTTTTTTTTTTTTTTTTTGACTGACAGATTCAGAAGCTAAAACTCGACATTGAAACGTGAGTTGAGGTTATAAAATTGATAATATAAATATAATAAGGTTTTATTGATAATTTATTACAAACAGGGCAATGCTTGAGCTTAATCAGATATTGAGGGCGAATGAGATAAACTTTGCCATACTTGCTGCTTTACCCGCATTCTTTCTCTCACTACTTATTCTCATGTTATTGCGTGCTTGGGTCAAACAGGTAGCTATCTCATACTCTCATACTCATACTCATACATGATGCATTCTTTTTATTTGTCCTTCTGCATGTGTTTTGAGATTTTCCAATTCTGTCCTCATCATTGAAAATAGCCCTGTAAACCTTTTCCAATTCTGTCTTCCATTTCGGGGGTGGGGGGGTTTGTTCACAAATACTTGGGCATATTTAAGGGCATATTTGGTTATTAGATTCCGCTGGAATCTGACGAAACTGGAATCTGGGATTCCATTCCATTCCATGGTGTATTTGGTTGCCAAATGAATTTCGTCTGTGTTAATGGATTTCACCATTCAATTCCATTCTTCCTATTTTTTTTTGTTTCTTTAATTGAAAGACCAAAATACCCCCAATTATCTTGTAATTTGTTTGTCTCAGGACACAAGGGCACAAGGCAAAGGGAAAATTGCTCGAGTGCAAAGAAGACTATTAATTGTGGAAGTTGAGAAGAAAATCGTGCAGTTCCAAACTTGCATTGATCAGGGGCTGGTAAAAACTTTTTTATATTTTTTTACTAATAATAAGTCCAAATTTATGAGCTTATTGTGTGTGTGTGTGTGTGTGTGTGCAGGAGAAAGATGGGCAATGTATGTATGGATTGATTTTGTATACCTTGGATCGGCTTTATAGAGCTGTGGAGAGGCATGCAAAAGCAACTGGCGAGTGGCAGAGGTTAGTTATTATTATTATTATTTTTTGTATCAGTTTATTGTTTAACTAGTTATAGTTTTATTGGAATGACAAAAGAATTTGGGTAGTGCTTCATATCAATGAGATGTCATTTCATATGAAACATTATTTACTATCTCCTTCCATTTCCCTAAGTATACACTTATTTACTAAAACATTTATTAAAGGGAAAATACACATAATATAATAGCCACTGTATTTTTAATTGTTTTTTCGGTTGAACCAGTATATTAGATTTTGAATCAATGAAGGCCAACAATTTCTGAAAGAAATTTCCACTAAGACCACTATAATTTCCTATTTCTGTAAAAAAAGTTGGATGCTATTTTAGGAAGTAAATACAATGTCATGTAGTTTAAGGAGAAGCCATGTCTGCTAAACTGGAAATAGTGGAAATTTCTTTCACAATAAAAGGCCAAAATGTCATTTTTATGTATGTTGCCATTTATATATTGAAGATGTGATGTGATTGATTATGGGTGTTGTATGATGAATAATAGTTTGAGAGAGGATATCAACAATTTGGCAAAACCCAACCTTGCGACTACAGAGAAGCTTAGAGTGACTTCACGTATGGCACATATGTACGATTGCTTGCTTCCCTCAATGCGCCATTAATTTCTTACCCCATTAAACAAACACAAAAGATTTCAAATCTTGACTTTATCTTTGAAAAGGCAACCTCTTTTTGTTATAAATCAAAATTTTGCTTAATCTTTTTGTCATGTCATCAAAATTTTGGATAGTCTATTCCTCTAACATAAGGACAATATATCATAAAGGTTTTCTATTTCTTTCGCCTTAAATGCTTGCAGGCCATCAGTTTCTTTGTAATATTTAACAATTATTGTAATTGTTATTGTTATTTTGTATTAGTTCTATGAATTCGATTTCTATTAATGTGTATGTTTGATCTTGTTGTTCGTTTTTACCATGTGTCTCTATCACCCTACTTGTAGGTTGCATTTTGTACATGAGACATTATCAGATGAAACTAGATTAGTTTGTTAAGTGATAAATCTTTTGTACAAATGAGAAAGATCAAGAGTGAGTCTCTGTATCCCTAAGAAAATTGTTTCGGCTTTTTATGGCTTTTTATGTGAAAAAAACTAGACAAAACTGCAAAAATAGTCCATGTGGTATGTATTTTTTCTGAGGTTTAATCCAAGCCTTGACTTTTTTTTTTTTTTTTTTTTTTTGGCTTCGTGGTCATTTTGAGTTAGTTTGGTTCCAGATTTGGTCCCTCAGTAAACTAAAATGACTTTAATACCCTTGGGGTATTTATTTTCAATTTTTCTTTTATTTTTATAAATCTAATACTTATATACTTAAACAATTAAAAAAAAAATAAGAGGGGCCCACCTCTCTCTCTCTCTCTCTCTCTCTCTCATAAACATCGCCATTCTAATTCCTTTTTATATTGCTGGAAACATCATAAAATTTAAATCAAACGAATCTAACCATCGATGACAAGATTCGCATAACCCTTGATGAGAAGATCGATATGTTCTTGCATCCTTGAACTTGGCTAAAAGTGTGTGCTTCACTTCTCCCATCTCTATTTCTCTGTATATGCAAAGATTAATCGGAGATGAAGAGACTTCGTCGAAGATGGAGAGTGGAGTTTTCTGGAGATAAAGGGTGTGTCAATCAAAAAGAATCAAGAACATAAAACAGAGTAAAAGAAAACAACCCATACAACACCAAGATTTAAACACGACTCAATTTTGTTCAATCAATTTCTTATCTACATCCACCACAATCTCTGTTGCTTCTTTCTTTCTAGATCTGCTTATGAAAAGAATACTATTAAAACAGTAAATTCCATCTTCCCCTCTACTTTAATGCCTTTACTGTATACGATGTGAAGCATGAGGTGTAGCAACAGCCGAAGAATTCGAGCTTGTCCCAAGGCTTTGTAGATACATACTTGCTATCAGGGGCTCTAAATAAACAAATCTGGTTATGATAAATTCCGACGACCCTCCTTTCGTCTTTCTTCTTCTCTATCACAAACCCAGACACTCCATCGACCATCCTTCCCTATTTCTTCTTCTCGTATAAATGCTAACCCACCCCAACCTCCCTCCCTTATTCTTTTCGATTAACCCAAATCTGCAATTGAATCAATCGACTCCCAAATCCGGAATCGATTAAAAGCAGCCTCCGATGGATCAAGGTTTTAAGCTCACAGGCTTCACATATGTGGGTGTGTTTCTTGTTTGCACAACCACAAATAGAAAGAATAAAGAGATAATTTTCATTGTGTGTGTGCTCTGATGCAATGTTTGTGCGTGTCTTTTAATCTACATTCAAGAATTCTGGGTTAGAGAGAGAGAGAGATTAATTAATTAATTATTTATTTTTGTTTTAAATTAAATAGAAAAAACATAAAAAAATATCAGAATGACATTATAGTCATTTCAGTTTACTGAGGGACCAAATCCATATAAAAAACGGCCAAAAGGACCATGAAACCAAAAAAATCGAAATTTGGACTAAACCTAATGCATATAATAGGGACCATTTTTACAGTTTTGTCAAAAACTATACAACGGAGTTTTTGTTGATAGATCAATTTAATACATGTCAAATGAAGTTTAATAGTCTTTTGTACAAATGAGAAAGATCAAGAGCAAGTCTGTATCACCTAAGAAAATTGTTCCGGTTTTTTTATGTGAAAAAAACTATACAACAGATGTTCTATTGATTGACCAATTTAATACATGTCAAATGAAGTATAATAGTGTGTCTCTATAGGTGCATATGGAATATCGAAATGCTTTTGAATGATAACGATGTGAATGTACACTAACCTAATATCATACAATGTTTTATCTACCATTTTGGTTTTGGGTAGGGGTGGCAACTCTCGACCCAACCCGTAACCCGACACTGACCCAACCCGAAAATAGATAAGTTTGGTTTTTGACCCGCCAACCCGTCAACCCGTATATATATATATATATATATATATATATATATATATATATATATATATATATA